AGTAGCTGGGACTACAGGCGTATGCCACCATGCCCAGCTAATTTTTTTTTTTTTGTATTTTTAGTAGAGACGCGGTTTCACCATGTTGGCCAGGATGGTCTCGATCTCTTGACCCCGTGATCCACCTGCCTCGGCCTCCCAAAGTGTTGAGATTACAGGCATGAAACACCACGCCCGGCCACTTATTAGTTTTTAATTCAAACTGAGATTCTCAGCCTTTTGATAGGTAAGTTTGACCCGTTTACATTTACTGTGATAAATAGGTCTCATTTTGTATTTTCTTTTCTTTTTCTGAGACAGGGTTGTGTTTTCTCTTTTCCATACTTTCTGTTTCTTTTAGTCCTCTTCTCTGAGTTTCCATGGAATAATCACTTCTTTTCTTCTGGTTTGAATAGTATACATCCTATTTTTATTCTCCTGGTGTTTGTACCTAACTTATTAAAATCCACACATAGGTTTCTTCCCCACCTGGCATCCACCTTTTACAGTTGTGAATGTGCATTTTTTATGCTGTTCAGTCTAGGATACTATATACAGCAAAATTATCTTTATTTGTTTTTCTTTTAAGATGGACCCTGTCTCCCAGGCTGGAGTGCAGTGTGGCATGATCTTGGCTCACTGCAGCTTCCAACTCCCACGTTCAAGTGATTCTCCTGCCTCAGCCTCTTGAGTAGCTGGGATTACAGGTGTGTGCCACCAAGCCCAGATAATTTTTTGTGGGTTTCTTTTTTTGTGTGTGTTTTGTTTGTTTGTTTGTTTATTATTATCATTATTGAGATGGGGTCTCACTCTGTTACCCAGGCTGGAGTGCAATGTCATGATCTTGGCTCACTGCTGCCTCCTTCTCCTGGGTTCAAGCAATTCTCCTGCTTCAGCCTCCCAAGTAGCTGGGACTACAGGCATATGCCACCATGCCCAGCTAATTTTTGTATTTTTAGTAGAGATGGGTTTTTGCCATGTTGGCCAGGCTGGTCTCGAGCTCCTGACCTCAGGTGAGCCACTCACCTTGGCTTCCCAAAGTGTTGGGATTACAGGCATGAGCCACTGCACCTCATCATTTTCTTTTTTTTTTGGATTTTTTTTTTCCCCCCGAGACGGAGTTTCACTCTTGTTACCCAGGCTGGAGTGCAATGGCGCGATCTCGGCTCACCGCAACCTCTGCCTCCTGGGTTCAGGCAATTCTCCTGCCTCAGCCTCCTGAGTAACTGGGATTACAGGCACGCGCCACCATGCCCAGCTAATTTTTTTGTATTTTTAGTAGAGACGGGGTTTCACCATGTTGACCAGCATGGTCTCGATCTCTTGACCTCGTGATCCACCTGCCTCGGCCTCCCAAAGTGCTGGGATTACAAGCTTGAGCCACCGCGCCCGGCCCCTTTTTTTTTTTGTATTTTTAGCACAGATGGCGTTTCACCATGTTGGCTAGGCTGGTCTTGAACTCATGACCTCAAGTGATCCACCCTCCTTGGCCTCCCCAAATTCTGGAATTACAGGCATTGAGACACCACACTCAGCCTAAAAACTAAAAATAGAACTACTACATGATTCAGCAATCCCATTACTGAGTGTTTATCCAAAGGAAAGGAAATTTGTATATCACATGGATATCTGCACTTCCATGTTTATTGCAGCCATATTCACAATAGCAACTTAAGTGTCCACTAGTGGATGAATGGATAAAGAAAATGTGGTATATATACATAATGCAATACTATTTGGCCATAATAAAAAATGATATACCAACATTTGCAGCAAGATGGATGTAACTGAAGGTATCATGTTAAGTGAAATAAGCCAGGCATAGAAAGACAAGTACTGCATGTTCTCACTCATATGTGGGAGCCAAAAGAGTTCATCTTATGGAGGTAGAGAATAGAATGATTATTACCAGAGGCTGGGAAGGGTGTGGAGGGTGATGAAAAGGTGCTAGTTAGTGGGTACAAACACACAGATAGAAGAAATGTTTGATTCTTTGATAGCACAGTTAACAACAATATATCATATATTTCAAAATCGTACAGAAAAGAACGTTTCAAATTTTTCCAACACAACGAAATGAAAAATATTGAAGGTAATGGATATTATAAATACCCTGACTTGCTTATTACATATCCTATGCATGAAGAACATTTCAAATTTTCCCAGCACAAAGAAATGATAAATGTTGAAGGTGATGCATATCCTAAATACCAACTTCATTATTACACATCTTATGCATGTATCAGAATATCACATGTACCCCATAAATACGTACAAATATTATTTATCAGCATTACATTTTCTTCTTGTAATCAGTCCTGCTATTGACAAATCATTTGTTGAGAAGCCACAAAATGCCAACCACCGTTTTTAACACTGATGATTTTTCTTTAATTGTGATTTTTTTTTCTTTTTTGTTTTGCTTCTAGAAGGCATTAGAATTTCTTCTTTGTTAGATTTCATTGTAATATGTGGTGTCTATTCATAATTTTGTTTGACTCTCTATGTATACTTTCAATCTAAAGTCTTTAATTTTTAATTTTTCCATAATTCTTGATTATTGTTTCTTAAAATAGTACCTCCTCTCTGTTTTTCTTTCATTCTCGGTTTTCATTATATAAAATCTAGCCAGTCTCCATACTGCTTAACATTTCTTTCATATTTTTCAACTTTTTCTCCCTGATATTTTATGGAAGTGTAGAATTCTCTGACCTGATAGTCTAGCTTCACTAGGCTATTCTAGATATTCACTCTTCAATTTTACATATTCTGCCATTCAACCTAGTATTAACCATTATATTTTGACACACAGTTTTGTTGTTTTTATTTTTATGATAAGTTCTTGCTTGATATTTCAAGTATCCTCCTTTATCATTCTTAGGATAGCTTTTTAAAAGTATATATACAGGCCACACACCTCCTAGGACCAACCGTAGAGTTGCTCAATCCAACAATTTTCCCCCTTGCAGAGAATCTCCAGATTGGATTTTGACAAAGATCCTCTTTTATGTTAGAAAGTTATATTAGGTGAATTTCCCTGCATAACAATATTGCCACATACTTAGTGGTTCAAATAACGTAAGTTTATTATCTCATAGTTTGTATGAGTGAGAGTCGGAGCACAGCTTAACTGAGTCCTTTGCAGCCTGCTATCAAGATGTCAGGCAAGACAGGGTTCTCATGGGAAGACTCTACAAGGAATAATTTCAAGCACACAGAGCTGTCCAAAGGGTTCAGCTCCTTGCAGGTTGTGGAACTAAGGGCCTTCCATTCTTGCAGGCTCTTGGTTGGAGGCCATCCTCAGTTCCTTGGCTTATGGGCCTCTGCAACATCACCACCACTTCATCAAAGCCAGCAAGAGAGGAGTCTCCTAACAAGACACACATTAGACTTTCATGTGTCACCTTTATCGTACTGTATTGGTTACAAGTGAGTCCCAGTCCATATACAAGAGGAGGGGATTGCACAAGGGTGTAACTACCAGGAGTCTCAGATAATGAGAGGAACAAATCCCTTTTGGGAACTGGAAATTGTCTTTTCCTAAAGTTTCTAAAAGCCACTGAATGGTTTTAAGCAGTAAAGTAATAGCATATGCTTGTTTTAGAATGAGCACTAGCCAGAAAGTATTGAGAACAGATTGGTGGTAGAGAAAACCCTAGTTAGGGAATCCAGTTATCAGGCTGCGACAGCAATCCTAGTGAAATGGTGGTGGCCCCAACTAAAGTAATGCTACTGGGAATAGAGAAAGATGGAAAAATTGGGGTTACTTAGGATACAATGAATAGGACTTGGTGATAAATAGATGGTGAGATTAAAGAGTTAAGAATATTCAGGTTCTAGCTTGTGCAAATGAGTGAGTTGGCAGTTAACTCATTCACTGAAAAAGGAGAGCAGTCTAGACACGAAGCTGGAGGTGGGTGGGTTAGTCCCCTGACAGAATTGGAGAGACTATATCACGATCTCTTGAAAGAACCACTTTTTATGATACATTTAAACTAATTTTTATGTCTGCAAAGAACCTGTTGCTCAAATTTGTTAAAACAGCATCAATCTTTTTAACTCATTTTAAATACGTGATATTTTAGGATTACAAATAGTCTGTGGAACCAGGAACATCGGACTGAGCGTACAAAGAGGGACCTGCTCTTCCTAAAAAGATCTGTCATATGTTTTGAAAGCAAACGATGAGTTCTGGGAGGACAAAATATGGATAAAAGCTATGTATTTTAATGTATCTTACTAAACTGGAGTAATTTGGGTTGAACTCAGCAGTCTTTTTTTTTTTTCTTTCCCGAGACGGAGTTTCGCTCCTGTTGCCAAGGCTGGAGTGCAATGAATGGAGTGATCTCGGCTCACCACAACCTCCGCCTCCCGGATTCAAGCGATTCTCCTGCTTCAGCCTTCTGAGTAGCTGGGATTACAGGCATGCGTCACCACGCTCGGCTAAATTTTTGTATTTTTAGTAGAGACAGTTTCTCCATGTTGGTCAGGCTGGTCTCGAACTGCCAACCTTAGATGATCCGCCCGCCTCAGCCTCCCAAAGTGCTGGGATTACAGGCGTGAGCCACAGCGCCCGGCCGAACTCGGCAGTCTTAAGCACTGTGCCGCAGGATCTTGTGCAGACAAAGCGCGGGGACAGACTGGACTCGGATCTGCTCCCTCCTTCCCCAGACCGAGGGGTGGGGGGAGGCGGGAGGGGAGAAGGACCGGCAGGATCAGACACAAGATCCTTTAGGAAGAGCAGGTCCTTCTGTACGCTCAGTCCGATGTTCCTGGATCCACAGACTATTTGTAATTTCATGTATTTAAAACGAATTGAAAAGATTGATGCTGTTTTAACAAATTTGAGATGTTGCATCATACTTTCGCGAGGCGGACAGAGCTCTTCCATCCTTGGATTCTCCCAGCAGCATCACGGGTGCTCCCACCTGCGGAGAACTGAAGTCCGGCGATGCCCGGGGGGCTTCTGGGAATTGTAGTTCCGGGCGGAATGAGGGCAACCCGCCTGGTTCCGCTCCTTCTTGCGCATGCGCAACTCCCGAGCTGGCCCAAGAAGTTCATACCCTTTGTGAAGCCCGGGATGGGAGGTGAGTCGGTTGTGGTGATGTCGCTCATCTCCGCTCGGTCTCGGCGGTGGTTCCCCGGGTCGTTCTGCGCCGGGTCGGGGCTGGAGTGCGCGTTTGTTAAAGGGGCCTCGAGGGCATACCATGAGCCCCGTCCCTTCTCGCTCTAGCCTGGTCCTCTCCTCCGGGGACGCCGTTGTGCGACGGGCGGGGCGGTCGCGGGGTCCTGGGCCAGTGCCCCCAGCGCGGCGGAATTTGTCTATGCTCCTGGTGCCCCAGCGCCACCTCGTCCAGGCGCCCGGTCCCCACAGTGACAGCTCCAAGCTGTAGGGACATCTCCAAGCGGTGGGGACAGACATCTGAGGTCCCAGACTCAGGGATGCTGTTCCGGGCTTCCAGGGTCCAGCTCCGTAGGACCGAGGCAGATTCCACCGTGAGGAAGAAACCCGACCCAGCCTGACCCAGGCCTTTCATCAGAGCCCAGGAGGGAAGCTGGGAAGTGGGTCCACGAGGCCCGGGCTTCTAACTCGTCTGGGCAGAGAGGTCTGAATTGGGGTGAAGAGCAGAATCTCCAGAATAAGGAGGAGGTGGTGATCATGGAGACAGAGTTGACCGAAATGCCCGAGAAAAGAGGTGAGAACTGCGGACGTGTTGAACTTGTGGACGTGAAAGGGCGAAATTTCTGCTTCTGAAGGGAAAACCGTTGGCTCAGGGGAGGTGGCAGTTGGCTGGCTGTCTCCATTGTCTTGGGGATGGGTGGGCTTTTTAAGTGAGACTGGAGGGCTTGGTATGGGAGCATTGCCCTTTCCATGGCAGCTGGACACACAGTGGACCCGTCAAAGCTAACTCCAAAATGTGAGTGAAGTGTTAACTTCTAGGGCATAAGCAACAAAGTCTCAATTAATTCATTTTCTCATGTACTCTTCCTCCCAAATGATTATCTCATGCTAGTCTCCATTGGGCCTGAGAATTCAGCTCTTTGGTTCGCAAAAATATATTGTTTTACATAGAAGAAAACAGGCATAGTCGTCAGTGATTGGCTTCAGTTCTACCTGACCACTTTCATGAAGGTTGTGCTGTGATCTCCTGTATCAGAATTCCTCCTGGGGTGTTTGTTAGATTTCTAGGTTGTACCCCAGGCTCAACTAATGCTTATTAATTTGAGGTGGGGTCCAGCAATCTACATTATAAGTAAGCTTTCAGAGTGAGAACAATTGAGCTTATTTCTCTGATAATTATTTAGTATAGATTAAGCTGGGAAATTAACTGACATATTCTAATTTCTGGATCAGAGGATGCCGTCTTCCAGAATGTGTTATGATTATAGCAACTGAATTTGAGCCTGGGGTAGCAGTATTCCTGTACATCCTGGGACGAGGGTCCTAGTGGGAGGCTGGTTTTGGGCTGCCTTCAGTCTCAGTGTTTGTGGGGTGCACATACAGGATGTTGGAGCAGTTTTTAGACTTTATATCTGAGTAGCTAGATAAGTCTAGGCTTCATTATTACTGCTTTCTTGCCGTTAGCTCTGTCTTCCCAGGATTCTCCCCATTTCCAAGAGAAGAGCACAGAAGAGGGAGAAGTGGCTGCTCTGCGCCTCACGGCCAGATCCCAGGTGTGTGAGTCTGTTGATAATTGGAATTACACCTTGTTTCTTAGAGTACAGATGTGCTCCCTTCTTTTTGATGTGGAGTTTCTTTATCCACTAAAATCTATCTACAGAGCTGAGTTCTAAATCTAAGAGACTACTCAGGAAGCTACTTAACTCAGAAGAAAATGTTTTCTACTTACTCATAACACTGGATGGATTTCTTCCCCATTTAGTGTTTATTGCCCCTCAACAGACAGGTATCAGGTAAGCAACATTTCCCTTTCTTAGCCTTCTATGCTCATTTCTGTGCTTGGTAATGTGAGAAACTATTTTAAATACAATGTGTTAATACCTCTCAAAACTTGTTTCTCTAGAAGAAATAGGATGTATGTGACTTTAAGTAGCAATTTAAGAAAGCACTTAAATGCTGAAGTGATTGTAAAAATAATAAGTACTCACATAGTTCAAAGAAATGCTGGAAAAGGAAAGCCTATGAAGGCATAATTGAAAGAGTTACAATTAGAATCCAGCCCTCTGAGATGATGGAAGCTAAGGTATTATGTCTGCAACTTACTTTTATATTATTAGCCCCTCTCTCCCAAAAGGTAAATAGACAAATATTAAGAATTTTTTAATTTAGGTGGTGATTGTGCTGTATCAGTGATTATTATATTCATCTTTAAACTTTTGTATGTTTGAAGATATTATTAAAAGAATTTGGGGCTGGGTACAATGGCTCACACCTGTAATTCCAATACTTTGGGAGGCCGAGGTGGGCAGATCACCTGAGGTCAGGAGTTCAAGACCAGTCTGACCAATATGGTGAAACCTCGTGTCTACTAAAAATACAAAAACTAGCTGAGTGTGGCGGTGCACGCTTGTAATCCCAGCTACTGTGGAGACTGAGGCATGAGAATCACTTGAATCCAGGAGGCAGAGGTTGCAGGGAGCTGAAATAGGGCTGCTACACTCCAGCCTGGATGAGAGTGAGACTGTCTCAAAAAAAAAAAAAAAAGAAAGAAAAGAAAAGAAGTTGAGTAGGAAAAAAGGAGCTTTCCATGATGTGTGTGGCATACCACAACCCAGAGAGTCCTCAGTCAGCCTTTCTCTTTGCTTCTATAATCCAAAGTGTAAAAAGTAGATGCTGCATGTTTGTAGTGTTTGTAAAAGTGACTTTTCAGTATCCTTTATATACTTGCCTGTCTCCATTGGCTTCTCAACCTGAAGTCTTAAAGGCTTTATTAATCAAGAAGCTTTAAGTGGCAGCTAATGAAACCAATTCAAATGGGCCTAAGTGAAAAGAAGTAACTAATGATGAACAAACTGAAAAATCTGGGTCTGGCTATATCTAGGGCTCAAGCAAGAATGTTAAAACCTGTTTCTTCATTTACTAACCTTTTCTTTTTTCTCCATGAGTTTGTTGTCAAGCAGGTTTTTCTCCTAGTGTTGGCCTCTAACAAGTTTAGGCTTACATTTTCCTGTGTTGAAGGCCAGAGAAAAAGGGCAGATTCTCTTCTAGTCATTCTTGCAGAAGTGCTGGGATTGACTCTAATGGGGTATTAGGCTCATTCCTGGATAAATTGTTGGCCAAATCTAATTCTCTATAGAGTATACCTACACACACACACACACACACACACACACACAACACACCCCTACACACACCCAGGAGCATGCACACATCCCACCTCATGAGTCAGAGTTGGAGTCAGTACTTCCTGAACTACACAGACTCAAAGTGGCCAGGCATAGTAGCTAGGGGAAAATTAGGGCACAGGTACCAGAAGTGAATCTATATTTCAGTACTTTGATATTAGATTCAACACTGTTATAGCATCAAAGTGATTGAACCTATTAATGGAAAATTTTAAAAGCTCTCTTTGTTCTGTTTGGATTTTTAAAATGCAATATTGCAGCTTTTTTGCTTACTAGAATTTGCCTGGGCTATTTTTTATCTTTGATTTATTTGATTTTTAAAAATATTAAAGTTTTAATTCTTGCTCATTGTAACGAAGTGAACAACACAGATAAACAGAAATGTAAAGTAATATACCAGGCACAGTAGCTCACGCCTTCAATCCCAGCACTTTGGCAGGCCAGTTTGGACAGATCACGAGGTCAGGAGAATGAGACCATCCTGGCTAACATGGTGAAACCCCATCTCTACTAAAAATACAAAGATTAGCTGGGCATGGCAATGCGTGCCTGTAATCCCAGCTACTTGGGAGGCTGAGGCAGGAGAATCACTTGAAGCCAGCAGGTGGAGGTTGCAGTGAGATGAAATTGTGCCACTGCACTCCAGCCTGGCTGCAGAGTGAGACTTCATCTCAAAGAAAAAAACACACACAAAAAAACAAAAAAGGTAGTGCTACTTCCCCTTCAATTTCAGTCCCTGCCTCTCCCTACTAACATTTGATGTATATTTTTCCATATTTTTTTGTGCTTGCGCTACTACATTCAGACATATGGTATACCATAATTTCCTTCCATTTACCCACCAGTACCCAACCTAGCAGTTTGGATAGCCTATTCGGTATGTAGGATGTGGCTTGAAAAACAAACAAACAAACAAAGAAAAACCTTTTTATAAGGGGAATTTTCTCATTCACGTATAATACATATGTTTCAAACTTTTCTTGCCATGTAATTTTTATAATTCTGTTTCCTGTGCTTTCTTGTTTCCTCTTTCGTATTTTCCCTACTGTTTGTGCAGTGGTTTGCATTTTTGTTGTTCTTGCTTTTTGTTTTGATTGTTTAGCACTTAATCCCCAGTGAAGGTTGATTTAGTTATGTATATACAGATTCTAGGCTAAAGGTCATTTCCTCATAATGTCTTTTCTACGTAGGGGCTACTTAGTAATTTTTACATATTATTTTATCTTAAGGGAATAATTTTATCTTACTTCTTAAATCTTAGATTATTTTCCCTATAGTAGCTTTACTTTGAAATAATTTTATTCATAAGAAGTGTTGCAAATAGCACAAAAAATTTATATATGTTTCACCCAGATTTTGCAAAAATTTATATTTTACTTTGCTTTGTTATTATTTTTTCAAAACCAGGACATTCACATTGGTATAATATTATAACCTACTGACCTTATTCAGATTTCCCAGCTGTCTTATTTTTCTCTTTTTAAAATTTCTGCTTTTATATTGTAAATATTTCTGTTTTCCTACGTTTTTTGTTCTAACTTGATTTGTGTGCTCTGCTCATTTATTTGCGTTTTTCAGAAACGTAATGGAAGTGTTTAAAGCTATGAAATTTCCTCTGAGTACAGTTTTATCCATTTAGCATTTTTTTCTATTTTATTTCATCATTATTTTCATATTTTGATATATTTTTTCAGTTATTATCAATTATTCTGTTCTATTTTTGTTTTGGGATATACTGAAATTTACTTTGTTACTTTTTGCAAATGCTACATGAATGTTTAAACAGAAGATGTTTTCTATCCAGTTAGAGCATTTGGTTTATATTTATTTCAGTAACCTTAAAATATTCCTGTTGCCTGTGGGTTTAAAGCTGCCGGTTCAATGCAGATATATACCTATCTCCTTATGGTTTTTGTATTTTTTTGTCTTATAGAAGTATAATCTTATTATATTTTATACATAAATATTTATGAGTTGTGTCTAATACATTGAAGCTGTTTCCAGTGTAATGCTTTTTGCCTTGAATTAATTCATGTTTAACTGGTTGCTTTTTGCTGTTTTTCATTCCATGACTTCTCCATTTACAAATTCTGTATTGCATTTTATCTAGTGATTGGCTAGATTGACTCTGCAATTTTTTCTTGACTCAGAGAAGCATTATGTAGACATGACCTTTTTTCCCTCTGCTTATATTTTACTTTAATCAAACTACATTGTTGACTCATTGGTTCATATTTTAATACTTTATTCCCCAGAAAAATTGTAGTGTCTCAATGGAGAAACCAGGGTCATCTTTTGGTTCTCATATTGAATCTAGTATAGTGTACCTGGCACATAAATGATAGTGACCCTTTATGTAAAATATTCTGAATCTGAACACCATTAGAATACTTGTTATTTATCAGAGTCAGTTCCCCTGTTAAGTGCATCTCAGGCTTTTGCTCCAGGGCCAGCAGAAATTGGGAGAAGAAAGAGAGGTTACAAGGGAAAAATGTTGAAAAAAATGTTTTATGTCTTAGGAAACAGTGACATTCAAGGATGTGGCCATGGACTTTACACCAGAGGAGTGGGGGAAGCTGGATCCTGCACAAAGGGATGTGATGCTGGAGAACTATAGGAACCTGGTCTCACTATGTAAGAATGGATTCTCATTGTGACTCTGGAATCTGCTTATGAGAACATCATTGGTTTAATGACAGTGAAATAGCTTAACAAAGCCTTCACCTTTGCATTCAGAAGTCAAAAAATGTTAATTCTTGGCCGGGCGCGGTGGCTCAAGCCTGTAATCCCAGCACTTTGGGAGGCCGAGGCAGGCGGATCACGAGGTCAAGAGATCGAGACCATCCTGGCCAACATGGTGAAACTCCGTCTCTACTAAAAATACAAAAAATTAGCTGGGCATGGTGGCGTGTGCCTGTAATCCCAGCTACTCAGGAGGCTGAGGCAGGAGAATTGCCTGAACCCAGGAGGCAGAGGTTGCGGTGAGCCGAGATCGCGCCATTGCACTCCAGCCTGGGTAACAAGAGCGAAACTCCGTCTCAAAAAAAAAAAAAAAAAAAGTTAATTCTTTTTGGCCTATGTTGAAAATCTGTTCCTGCTCTAGATTCTTGATGAAATGTCTATGCTTGTCTTGTATCAGGATTCTTTGGATTTAAGTGACAGAAATTTAACTCACACTCTTAAAGGGGAAAAAAATCTTGATTTTTCAAGGGTCCAAATATATTATCAGGAATTTCCTTTATTTCTTAATTGATTTATTTTTGACCAATTGGCTTGGTTTTGCTCTGTATTAGCTTTATTCTTGAACTCCCGACCTCAGGTGATCTGCCTGCCTTGGCCTCCAGAGTGCTTGGATTACAGGCGTGAGCCACCATGCCAGGACCTGTATTAGCTTTATTCTTAGGATTTCCCCATGTGGCAAAGATGGCAAGTGGCAGCCCACGGTTTTGTTATTCTTCCAGTTAGATAGCTAAGTTAAAAAAGAAACTACTTCTGTCCTTGGCGTTTCAGCAAATAAAGTCAGATGCCCATCGGTGAAACAGTCTCTAGAGCCAGAGAGATTGAGTACTCTGTGGCCAGTTTTAGATCCTGGGCCTACTATTGTGCATGCTGGTACACACATGCATGCATATGTTTGTATGATGGGTGGAGGGGACGGTTAGCCCCTCCCAAACCTTATGTAAAAAAAATCCCCTAGGAAAGTGACTTCTAGTAACTGAAGAAAGAGGAAAGGGAAAACATTAGAAGATAAAAACTTAAGTTACCACCATTACAATTGTGTGGTGCTGCCACTGAGGTCCCACTTTTTCCTCCTTTTCTGGGGTAAGGACCACTTTTCAACATCTCTCTGAAGTTTCCTCACACAATAAGGAAATAAAGAAAAATTCCTTTCTTTTCTGATGGTTGAAAATATTTGTATTTGCAAATCTAGTTGAACTCATTACCAGGCCCAGACACTTACTGCAGATATTCATTTAGAGGTCCATCCTTCCTTACTTCAGCTTTTCCTGTAATACTTTGTTTTTGTAGATCAAGAGGTTGAGACCATATTCTGGTTTAGATGTTGATACCTGTTACAAATAACTTAAGTCCAGCAGGTCAGGGACCATGAAAGTTGGGCATGGTGGCTCACGCCTGTAATCCCAGCACTTAGGGAGGCAGAGGTGGGAGGATACCTTGAGCCCAGAAGTTCGAGACCTGCCTGGGCACTATAGTTACTCCCCATTAACTTTAGAAATAAAAAATAAATTTTTATAAATTAAGAAAATAAAGAAAGTTGGAATTCACTAAGGAATATCTAACAATTCAACCTACCGGAAGAAAAAGTTCACAAATAACTTACTCCTATTACTTTCTTCTTTCTTTTTCTTTTTTTTAAATGAATAGGGCTTCCAGTTTCCAAACCTGACAACTACACCTTGGAGAATGGAAAAGAACCATTGAAGCTTGAGAGAAAAGCCCCTAAAAACAGCTATTCAGGTGAGTCACATAGATGGGAGTCTTCAGAAATGATAGCCTAGCAGGACAACAAAGAAATGATACTTATCAGTGCTTAAGAAAGAATGTTAGAAGTGCCTGTGCGCCTTTATTTTTTAATTTTTTAAAAAATTCTCAAGCATTATAAATATATAGGGAATTCCAAAACATAAAATAACATTCGTATACCTATCAGTGAGATTAGACACATACTCATATTTTGTTTTGTTTACCTCTTTTCTTTCTCTTTCTTCCTTTCTTGTTCTTAAAATATAAAATTCATAATTACACAATGCTTAACAAAGAATATTAGAAGTGCCTGTGCACCTTTATTTTTTAATTTTTTAAAAATTCTAAAGCATTTTAAGTATATACAGAAGTCCAGAAAATAAAATAACATTCATATATCCACTGAGATTAGACACATACTCCTGTTTTGCTTTGTTTGCCTCTTTTTGTTTCTTCCTTTTTCTTACAATATAAAACTCATAATTATACAGTTGTATGAATTTTCACAAATTTAGCACATTCATATAACTATTGTCCAAATCAAGAAAACAGCCTCACCAGCACCCCTAGAAGAACTCTTGTGCCCCCTCTTTCAGCCCCTCCCTCCTCCCAAGGATAATGTTATCCTAACTTAGAGCACCAAGTTTTGATGGTTCTTGGACTGTCTGTAAATAGAATCGTGTTGTATATACCCTTGTATCTGGCGTCCTTCACTGAGCATTAGCTGTGAGATATGTCCACGTCGTTGCATGTCATGGTAGTTTATTCATTTTCATTGTTACGTAATCTTTCATTTTGTTAATATACCAGTTTATTCTCCTGAAGATGAGTATTTGGATAGTTTCCAGTTTTTAGCTGTCTGAATAATGCTGCTATGTACACTTTTTTAATGCCTTTTGGTGAATAAATATATGCATTTCTTTTGGATATATGCATACAAGTAGACTTGTTTTATCATAGGATAGATACATATTCACTTTTGGTTGATGTTGCCAAAGAGGTTTCTAGAGTCATTACACCAGTTACATTCCCAGCAGCAGAGTGTGTGCGTTCTAGTTGTTCCACATGGTTATCAACACTTAATATTGCTCGTTTTCATTTAACCACCCTTTTGACGTGTGTGGTATCTTTTATTTTTTAAGAAAGGAGACATGCTACATATTCAGTTTAAGCCCTTTTATTTTCGGCCAGGTGCAGTGGCTCATACCTGTAATCCCTGCACTTTGGGAGGCCGAGGTGGGTGGATCATCTGAGGTCAGGAGTTCAAGACCAGCCTGGCCAACATGGTGAAACCCCATCTCTACTAAAAATACAAAAAATTAGCCGGGCATGGTGGCGGGCACCTGTAATCCCAGTACTTGTCAGGCTGAGGCAAGAGAATCTTGAACCCAGGAGGCGGAGGTTGCTGTGAGTCGAGATCATGCCATTGCACTCCAGCCTGGGCAAAAGAGGGAGACTGTCTCAAAAAAGAAAACAAAAACAAAAAAAGAAACCCCTTTTATTCTCTTTCTTCCCTAGAAGCAATCACTGTATCTTGAAATTGGTGTGGATGATTTCAATGTTTGTGTATATGTGTGTATACACAGAGACATATATACATATGTATATAAAGCAATATGTATATTTTATTATTGTACCTTTTCTTATGTAGTCTAATTTTTTTAATGTTCACAGTGTATTTTGATATTAATCTATGTTAATATGTATGAATAATGTTTATTCATTTCAACTACTGTGGAGCAGTAAGTCCATTGTGTGAATAAACTGAACAGTTTGTTTTTTTGCCATTAGTAGCAGTTGCAGTAATCATTCTTTGATTCCTAATGTTCATCTTGAGAGCTGGTTTAGGGAGATAACTGGAAGAACAATTCGTAGATCTTAAATCCTCACATGTTTAGCTTTACCAGGAGCTGCCAAAAGTTGAGTTATCAGACTTGTTAATTTTTGTCAATCTGATGGATGCAAATGGATGTTTTAACATTTTTATTTCTCTGAGTGATAAATATGAGTTTCAGCATTTCATATGTGATAGCTATTCAAGTTTCTTCTTTTGAGTTACCTGTTGATACCCTTTGCTTATTTTTTGAGATAGGGCTTTTCTCTTGATTTGGTGGATCCTTCATCTATTTTTGGTGCTAATATATGACAGAAGTAGCATTGCAAATCAGTGAGAAGAAATTGGTTCTTCCAATCTTTGGCTTATTTTATTTTCTGGTGTCTTAGGAATATAGAATTTGATTTTTTTAAACATTTTTTTTTTTTTGTTAATTCTCTACGTACTTTATCCCAGTGTCAGAAAGATAATCTTTATTTTATTCCAAAATGTTCCATTTTGTTTTATGGGTATGTATGTTTGTTTATGGTAGAAATAGGAAAACTAATTTTGTCTTTTTCCTTGCTTAAAGCCAGTAAGTCCAGGATTGTTCATTGAATAACCTTCTGTTACTGATTTGTGATGCTAGCTTTGGTAAACCCAGTTCCCCTGTGTACTTGGTTCTGTTTCTTGTCTCTCTGGTTTACTTGTCTGTCTATGTCTAATACCATACTGTTCTAATTACTATACTTAGTAGTATTTATAGCTCATAAAGAAAATCCTTCCTGGATATTCTCTTTTTTTAAAAAATGTTATACTTTTGAATATTGAAAGAGTTTTAAAATCTTTACCTGTGATTATAAATATGTCCCTTTCCCCTCATAGACCTATCAGTTTCTGTGACTTGCCCACTGACCACCCATCTCCGTTTTTTGGGGTATTGCAGTTTTCATGGTGATCTGTTAACAGATCCTTATATATGAGTTTTTTACCTTTTGATATGTTACAGGTATTTTTTTCTAGTTTTCACCTTTCAATTTTGCTGTATGTTTTGATTTACAAATTCAATGTTTTACATTTTTTTTTCCTGCCTTTTCAGTACTGCTTAAAACATTTTTCATTACCCCAAGGTTGTGTAAATTCTTTAAATTCTTTTTTTAATTGCATTTTAGGTTTTGTGGTACATATGAAGAACATGCAAGATTGTTGCATAGGTACACACATGGCAGTGTGATTTGCTGCCTTCTTCCACATCACCTATAGCTGGCATTTCTCCCCATGCTATCTCTCCCCAACTCCCCACCCCACGCTGTCCCTCCCCTATTTCCCCTCAACAGACCCCAGTGTGTGCTGCTCCCCTCCCTGTGTCCATGTGTTCTCATTGTTCAACACCCACCTATGAGTGAGAACATGCAGTGTTTGATTTTCTGTTTTTGTGTCAGTTTGCTGAGAATGATGATTTCCAGGTTCATCCGTGTTCTTACAAAGGACATGAACTCATCGTTTTTTATGGCTGCATAATATTCCATGGTGTATATGTGCCACATTTTCCCTGTCCAGTCTATCATCGGTGGGCATTTGTGTTGGTTCCAGGTCTTTGCTATTGTAAACTGTGCTGCAATGAACATTCGTGTGCATGTGTCCTTACAGTAGAACGATTTATAATCCTTTGGATATATACCCAGTAATGGGATTGCCGGGTCAAATGGAATTTCTATTTCTAGGTCCTTGAGGAATCACCACACTGTCGTCCACAATGGTTGAACTAATTTACACTCCCACCAACAGTGTAAAAGTGTTCCTATTTCTCCACATCCTCTCCAGCATCTATTGTCTCCAGATTTTTTAATGATCGCCATTCTAACTGGTGTGAGATGGTATCTCAGTGTAGTTTTGATTTGCATTTCTCTAATGACCAGTGATGATGAGCATTTTTTCATGTGTTTGTTGGCCTCCTGTATGTCTTCTTGTGTAAAGTGTCTGTTCATATCCTTCGCCCACTTTTGAATGGGCTTGTTTGCTTTTTCTTGTAAATCTGTTTTAGCTCTTTGTAGATTCTGGATATCAGCCCTTTGTCAGATGGGTAGATTGCAAAAATTTTCTCTCATTCTGTTGGTTGCCAATTCACTCTAATGACTGTTTCTTTTGCCATGCAGAAGCTGTGGGATTTGATTAGGTCCCATTTGTCTATTTTGGCTTTTGTCGCCAATGCTTTTGGTGTTTTGGTCATGAAGTCCTTGCCTACACCTATGTCCTAAATGGTTTTGCCTAGATTTTCTTATAGGTTTTTTATGGTGTTGGGTCTTATGTTTAAGTCTTTAATCCATCTGGAGTTAATTTTAGTGTAAGGTGTCAGGAAGGGGTCCAGTTTCTGCTTTCTGCACATGGCTAGCCGGTTTTCCCAACACCATTTATTAAACAGGGAATCCTTTCCCCATTGCTTGTTTTTGTCAGGTTTGTCAAAGATCAGATGGTTGTAGATGTGTGGTGTTGCCTTCGAGGCCTCTGTTCTCTTTCATTGGTCTATGTCTCTGTTTTGGTACCAGTAACATGCTGTTTTGATTACTGTAGCCTTGTCGTATAGTTTGAAGTCCAGTAGTGTGATGCCTCTAGCATTGTTCCTTTTGCTTAAAATTGACTTGGCTATGCGGGCTCTCTTTTGGTTCCATGTGAAGTTTAAGGTGGATTTTTCCAGTTCTGTGATGAAGGTCATTGGTAGCTTGATGGGGATAGCATTGAATCTGTAAATTACTATGGGCAGTATGGCCGTTTTCACAATATTGATTCTTCCAAACATGAGCATGGAATGTTTCTTCATCTGTTTGTGTCCTCTCTTATTTCGTTGAGCAGTAGCTTGTAGTTCTCCTTGAAGAGGTCCTTTACGTTCCTTGTTAGTTGTATTCCTAGGTATTTTATTCTCTTTGTAGCAGTTGTGAATGGCAGTTCGTTCTTGATTTGGCTCTTTTTAAATCTGTTATTGGTGTATAGGAATGCTTGTGATTTTTGCACATTGATTTTGTGTCCTGAGACTTTGCTGAAGTTGCTTATCAGTTTCAGATTTTGGGCTGAGACGATGGGGTCCTCTAAATATACAATCATGTTGTCTGCAAATAGAGACAATTTGACTTCCTCCTTTCCTAATTGAATACCTTTTATTTATTTTTCTAGCCTGATTGCTCTG